CAGAAACTTTCAGAGACAGATATTAACTGACCTAGTTATCATAGGTATGTTGTAATATTCCCTTTTATAATGCCTAGCTCAAGAAGCTTGAAGTCAGGGATCCCTGGGTGGCGCAGCGGTTTGGCGCCTGTCTTTGGCCCGGGGCGTGATCCTGGAGACCTGGGATCGAATCCCACATCGGGCTCCCGGTGCATGGAGCCTGCTTCTGTCTCTGCCTCTCTCTCTCTCTCTCTGTGTGACTATCATAAGTAAATAAAAAAAAATAAAAAAAAAAAGAAGCTTGAAGTCAGGTTATAAAACTGTATACACTAGAACTATAACCATGTGAATAAAACTAAAAAAATCATGCATAGAAAAAAAGACAGAGGGACTCCTGAGTGGCTTAGTCAGCTCAGGTCATGATCTGGGATTGAGCCCATATTGGGTTTCCTGCTCAACGGGGAGTCTGCTTTTCCTTTTCCCTTTTCTCCTCTCTCCAAATCCCACTTGTGGCCTTTCTCTTTCAAATAAATGAATAAAATCTTAAAAACAAAACAAAAAAAAAGGATGAGAAAAAAATTGCTAATTGTTATTTTGGTAAAGCAGTTAAATTATGGGTAATTGGGGATCCCTGGGTGGCTCAGCGGTTTAGTGCCTACCCTCGGCCCAGGGATCAAGTCCCACGTTGGGCTCCCTACATGGAGCCTACTTCTCCCTCTGCCTGTGTCTCTGCCTCTCTCTCTCTCTCTGTGTCTCTCATGAATAAATAAATAAAATCTTTAAAAAAAAATTATGGGTGATGCTTCTCTCAGTAATGTGACACATCCTTATTAATGGAAAAGTTAAAAAAAAAAGAAAAGAAAAAGAAAGAAAGAAAAAGAAAGGGATCCCTGGGTGGCGCAGCGGTTTGGCACCTGCCTTTGGCCTGGGGCACGATCCTGGAGACCCGGTTCCCACGTCGGGCTCCCAGTGCATGGAGCCTGCTTCTCCCTCTGCCTGTGTCTCTGCCTCTCTCTCTCTCTCTCTCTCTCTCTCTGTGTGTGTGTGACTATCATAAATAAATAACAATTTTAAAAAATGGAAAAGTAATATTTTATGAGAACTATGAAAACTGAAAATTCTTTAGACTATGTATAAAATATAATAAATATGATAAAATCAATCTTTAGCATAGCCATATAAGATGCTATCTTACATCTTATAAAATAGCAGAAGCCTTAGCCAAATTTCTGTAGTAGATAAAATGTGTTTTGGGACTTCTGTCCTTCTAGTTCTTTTATCTTTTCCATATTTATAGTTTCCATTCAGATACCTGGTGTCCCCTATTCTTCTCCAACATGTCAAAGGACAATAAAGATTTACTTCTTTAGGGGATTTGCATCTTTACAGCTATCAATGGCATATACTATGAAATTAGGATCATTAACAAGCAGGTGTTCAAAACATCTGTGAGCCGTGAGACCTGATGGCACCCTGAAATCAGACTTCTGTAGATCAGGGGAGTCCTGATCACAGCTGTTCCCAATACTGGCAGATACATCAAAGCTGTTGCCAATTTGTTAACCAGAGGCAATGACAGGAATGGAAGATGCAACTGTTCTTTCTAAGGGACTCATAAAGGTCTGATTAGTCTCATCTAAGTCATTGCCCAAGCAATTAAGGAGAATATTTTTGGAAAAGCAGACTTCAGAAGCCAAGCAGATTAGAAGTTTCCACCCTCTACTTACTGCTCTCATTCTGCACAGAAGCTGCACTGCTCTATAAAGCACTGCTGATTTAGATGTAGTTGGGATCAACCACCCCTTCCCTGGGCATAGACAAGTCGTACTTTTGTAGCAGATGGCCTCTAAGATGTATCTTAGACATCTAAAATAGTTGTTATAAAAATATCTATGCACAGTCTAGTAATGTGCTGTCTAGTAAGTAGTCACTAGCCTCATGTGGCTATTTAAATTTATTAAAATTAATTAAATAGCAGCCTAGATGGCTCAGAGGTTGAGCACTGCCTTTGACTCAGGGTGTGATCCCAGGTCCGTGATCTAGTCCCACATCGGGCTCCCTGCATGGAGTCTGCTTCTCCCTCTGCCTGAGTCTCTGCCTCTCTCTATGTGTATCTCTCATGAATAAATAAATAATCTTTAAAAAATTATTAAAATTACTTAAAATAAAAAATTTGGTGTCTCAGGTACACTAGAGCCACATTTCATTTTTTTTTAAGATTAAGATTTTATTTATTTATTAATGAGAGACACACAGAGAGAGTGAGAAGCAGGCTCCATGCAGGGAGCCTGAGGTGGGACTCAATCCCAGGTCTCCAGGACCAGGCCCGAAGGCGGCGCTAAACCGCTGAGCCACCCAGGCTACCCCCAGAGCCACATTTCAAATGCTCAAACACCATATGAGGCTAATGGCTACTGTGTGGGAAAGTGAAGATACAGAACATTTCACACCATCACATCAAGTTCTATTGGATAGTGCTCATCTAGAAGATAATAACCTTCAAATTGCATTTTTGCAGAGGCATAGGTCAGCCCCAGGTAAGGTGTAAAGCACCTCCCTGCCCACAGGTATATATGTAGTCACTAAATGGTTTTACTGACTTTAGCACTTATTTCTGCTTTCCTTAATCTCTAGATTTTTACACATACATCACACTCAACACAAACTTTGTTTTAGCTCTCCACCTTCCTTTACACTGATGATATGATTCTTTATGGTAGATTTAGTTCCTATAATCCATGAAAATGCCCAGCTCCTTGTTAACTAGAGCTATACTGGAAATCTGCCTTCTGTGTAACAAACAAGCTTGAATCTGAAGAGGGATGTATCTATTTGTGTTGCTGAGTCATTGAATTGACTGAAGCAAGGTCTATGGGGGGAGAAACGAAGCGGCATACAATCGTTTCTATTAGAGATTTTGCTATTTTGGTGTTCGCATGTCAAAATAAGTCACTAGATGAATTGATGGTGGAGCAATTTAGTGCCGGAAAGATGCCTTTCCCAGGCAAGATTTAAACTCCTAGTGGTTTTGTTTTGTTTTTTTAAATCAAATTCTGTTTTGTTCTTTTGGAGAAAGATTAATTTTGCCGAATTTTAAAGCTTCAACTCTTTTTTTATGAAGGCAAAAATAACCAAATCTCTCCAGTCCACGCCTTTTTAGCTCTCCAAAGATTACCACTAAAATGCGTCCATGTTATATTTTTGTCTGGGAAAACAGAACTTTTAGACATCCCTGCACCCACGGGATGACTCTGAATGCCGTCAGATCAGGAAAAGCACGAAAAAGCCTCAAAGCCTTTTGGTCGAAGATGCCGGGGAGAAGTAAACCCAAAGCACGTCTTTTTCACTCCGCTCCTCAACCCCTCCCCCCAAACCTAGGACTCCCCGTTTGACTGTTCAGCAGTTCCGATACCAACGGTTTACCATGGTGAGGAGCTGGGTCCGGTGAGTACGGGGCTGGGCGTGGTCAGGACTCCGAGGTGTGGGGCTCACTGCGGAGCCTGGAGGAGGGCCTTTACACCTTCCCTCACCTGCCGGGGCAGGTGGTGCTCAGAAAGCCCGTTTGCATCTGCTCCTGTTACAGATTGAGCCAACCTCAATTCAAAAAGACCCTCACAGTGACACAGCAAATTAGCCCTGGACGAGCCCGAGTTCAGCCTGGGCTTCGGCCACGCTACAGCTCTACCTGCAGGCACGGTTTGTGCATCTGGGGTTTAGAGACCCGGGGGCACCTGCGGTGTGTGGCGGTGGGTTGGCGGTCTCGGGACCCGGCAGAAGGTGGCCGTATCTGTAGCAACTTTTGAGTCTCGGACAAAAACCGCCTCCCAGAGTTATTAGAAACTGCCTGTACCTGCCCAAGCACAATTCATCCGACAGTTGCCATGAGATTCATTTTCGCTTCACTCTCCGGTCCCGCTCCCAACTCCTGGGCTCTCTGGTGCTGCATACAAGGTGGGGGTGGGGTGAGAGGCGGTGATTAGTCACTTACTGCAGTCTTCACACTTTTAGGTTTGTATGGTTTCCTTGCCTTTAACCCTGTCGCATCCAGAAAGTGCCCCCGTGCGCCACCCCTGCACCCCCGCCCCAGCCCCGGTGTGTAGGTACAGGCCGAAGTGGCGACGAGCGGGGTCGCACGGTGCGAAACCCAGGAGGAGACCGACCCCAGGCGACGCCCGACCCGAGGGGCATCCAGGCGAGCGCGAGGCAGGGGACGCGCCCCGCAGCCCCGCAGCCCCGCAGCCCGGCTCGGCGGCGGACGACGCAGTGCGCACGCGCGCCACCCGCCGCCCGCCGCCCGCCGCCCGCCGCCCCGCGCGTCCCCCGCCGGCTTCCCCCCGCCGCGCGCCTCTGCGCCCAGGCCCCGCCCCCGCCCCCGCCCCGAGCGGGCCCCACCCCCCGCGGGAGAGGGCGGAGGGGCGGAGGGGCGCAGGGAGCGTGCGCGCGGCCCGCCCCGGGCGCGGGCGGAGGGGAGAAGGCGGGGCGCGCGCGGCGGGCAGCCCGCAGAAGGCAGGAGCCGCGCAGGAGGACGGAGCGCCAGCCGCCGCGGGGCCGAGCCGGTAGGGGGCCGCGGGCCCTGGCGGGGTCGGGGGCCGGGGGGCCGGGGGAGCCGGGGGGGCCGGGGGCGGGCTTGGCGCTGACGCGGCCCCGGGGAGCCGGCGGGACCCTCGTCTACTGGAAACTTTGTAGCGGCCCCCACACCTGCTCCGGGCGGTTCTCGCATCCTCTGGGCTGCCCGGAGGGACGAGGCCGGGGGTCCCCCGCGGCGCCCCCTCCTCGCCGCCCCTGGGCGCGCGCCCCCCGGCTGCGGCCGACGCCCCAGCCCCGCGGACCCGCCCTCGGGCAGCAGCACCCTGTGGGCTCCCCTCCGCCCCGCTCCGCCCCCCTCCGTCCCCCTCCCCTCCCCTCCGTCCCCTCCGTCCCCCTCCCCCCCCCCCCCCCCCCCGACCCTCTGCGCTCCAGCCGCGCCGCGGCCTCTCCACCTCCTCCCCCGCCGTCAGCATCCAGCCGCTCCGGAGCCACTCGAGCTGTCGGCGGCCCTTTGCATCTTCCGTGCATTGATGGAAGCAACTTGACTTTCAGCAATGCCAACTATTCAACTTGAGTGTTTCCCTGCGGTGGTAGATTGGGGTGCACAGTGCTAACGTGTCTTTTTATTTCTCCCGAGTACCTTCGCTTCCAAGCGAAGTTGGGTTGTTTGTGAGAGGAGTCGCCTGCTGGAGCTGCCTTAAGTAGATTGTATAACTATATTTTATTTAGGTGGATGTTGCTATTGGTACCAGCTAGTGTTATGGTAACTGGGCATCCCAGAGGCAAGGGAAGGAGGAGTGACTTACTCTTGCAGTTAAAAAAAAAAAAAAACAAAAACAAAAACCACAACTACCTTGTACTTTTCACCCAGAAGGACCTCGAGGCATTTGGCAAGTGTTAACTAGCTGTTCGTTGTAGTTTTATAGGAGAGGTACAGAGAGAGCATCACCGTCCTGTTTCACAGATGTAAAAACGGAGGCAAACAACCAAGTCCTCCGATTCTTTACTAATCTTAAAGGAATATGGACCAAGAAATTTAACCCTGAGTTTCCTGGAATTCCAGGAATTCCTAGTGCATAAGGCCACACAGAGGTAAAATGGAATGTTGGAACATCTTCCCTGAGATTGTACAGATGAGTTAAAAGTCAAAGAGGCTGCGGCCAGGTGTCGGCAGCTTCCTGCTTGAGACTCAGCTCTGTCACAAAGTTAAGTGATGCTGGACAAGTCACAGCTGCTCCCAGCATGTTTCCTATTGTCTAAAATGAAGGGAACAAAGGTGCTGTATTCTTTGCTAAGTTGTGTGAGTGTGTCTGGAAGCTCCACTCCCTTGAGCTGCGTTTGGTGATTGTTAGTTGTCGTGGACTCATAAAGGCTCCCATTCTTGGGCTCCCTTTAGAAATGCAGGGAACGAGGCACCCCCAGAATGAATAACTGCCTCTTCTTCACTAGGGACACCTGAGGATTCATGTCAGGGAGAGGCTGAGGCAGGGACCCTGACCTGGGCAGCGTGGGGGAAAGGTTTGTTGGGTGGAGGTAGGAAGGCGCCCTGCACAGGCAGCTTGACACATGGGCCCTATTCCTGCCTCCAGCTCTGACTCATCTTCTGACGCTTGGGGGAGGAGAGGTAGTTGCTTGATATTTTTGGCTTTCCCCCATAAAACAGGAGACGGTTTCCTTCATTCCAAGTGCTTTTAACGTCAGTGTCAAACGTGTCTATGCTGAGTTCTCATCTGAAATCTTTTATATTGGTAGAGTGAAGGTATGACTTCTATAATTCCCTAATAGAATATAATTCCCTAATAGAATAGTATAAATGTGTATTCATATAAAAAATACTAGTCAGGTGTATAAATCCAGGAAATTCTTTAAAACTTTAGCATGAAAACCTTACCATTTTTAAATGATGGTCTTTTGGGAGGCATGTGTATTTGGTGAATTCCTTTGCATTTGGGATTTTAAGGCAAGGTAGTTTAGAAATACTTTTTCTCACTGTCACCAGAAATTCATGAATCATTCTCTGTGTAAAACTTAGAACTTTACAGATAAAGCTTTTTTTTTTTTTTGTATCTTTCCCAAAAGTAATTGCTGTGTGTATTTTTACTGGTTTGTGTGTATCGTCTTAGACTTTCTAAGTATTTTTATGTGTCTGTTTATGCAAAGTGATTTTTTAGTTGAAATGAATTATAAAATTATCCAGTCCTGTATGTAGACATTTGCTTTCTGTCTAGACTGTGGTAGCACGGTTTAAAGTGCAGATGGTTGTAAAGGCTTATTACCTCTATAGCATGGTAGTATTTCTTAGGATGATGGGCAAATGACATCTTAAGAGCCTTCTGACCCTTCTTAAACAGCCTCAAAGCACTTAAATCATTAAGATCCTAGGCGTTACTCACAGTTGCAAATGAAAACTTTTCCATTAAAAAAAAATCTAGGGCTGCTAATGTATTCATCTTTTCTTACAAGCAAGTATAAATGGGAGTGGAAGACTGGGAGAGTTGCTAAAGCCACAGCAGCTGGGAGTGAACATTTAAGGTTCACTGAGAGACAAAAGGAAGTAATAATGTGGGCACAGTTCAAATCAGTAGATTCAGGGGACACATGAGTTCAAACAGAATTCACATCAAGAGTTTGAGTTAGAGGACTTTTGCCATGCTAAAGGTCCAGTGCTGAATATTGGAGTAGAAGGCAAATAAGGTCCCTGAAAACTAATGAAACTGATAAACTAATGGTGACATTTAGAGAGGAAGTGTTCTTACCCCGCATTGGCCAGAATTGTAATGGTTCTGAATTTCTGGACATCAACATTTTATTTACTTAACCTTTTTATTGTGAGTTATAACACACAAAAAATACATAAAACTGATAATGTGTGTGTGTTTTTAAGAACACACAGCTGTAACCGTCGAGAATGTTAAGCACCTTCCTCCCATACTTTCCCAATGACAGCCTCTCTCCTCATGCCAGAGGTAACCTAGCTTCATTTTTGTGGGAATCATTTCCTTTCTTGTTGCTAATTTTTATCCCCTAAATATTAATATCTAAACAAGTTTCAAGTTTCTTTTTTTTTCTGTTTTCATCTTTATGCAAATGGAATCAAAATAGATATTTTAAATACTTTTTTGTGGGAGTCAACATCATATACATGTGTTTGTATATATACATGTGTATATAGGTATACACATACAGTTTTTAAAATTTCTTGGGGATCCCTGGGTGGCGCAGCGGTTTGGCGCCTGCCTTTGGCTCAGGGCGTGATCCTGGAGACCCGGGATCGAATCCCATATCGGGTTCCCGGTGCATGGAGCCTGCTTCTCCCTCTGCCTATGTCTCTGCCTCTCTCTCTCTCTCTGTCACTATCATAAATAAATAAAAATTAAAAAAAATAAAATAAAATTTCTTGCAGTATGGTATTTTTTATTTAATTTTTAAAAAAGATTTATTTATTCATGAGAGAGACAGGCAGAGGGAGAAGGCAGGCTCCCTGCAGGGAGCCCAATGCAAGACTGGATTCCAGGACTAGAACCTGAGCCAAAGGCAGACACACTCAACCACTGTGCCACCCAGGTTCCCAGTGTGGTATTTTTTAAAGATTCATTCATGTTGTTATCTGTGACTGTAATTAGTCCACTTTTGTGTGAACATACCACAAGTTATTCATCATCTGTTGATGGACATCTGGGTCAGTTATGAACAGGGGGGTTACAGGTGTGTTTATCTGCAGGTTTACTAGCTGATGCCTAATTTCCAAAGTGGTTGGTACCAATTTACATTCCTTCAGTGGTGTCAGCCTTGAATTTATAATCCACTGTATTTGTTGTTGAACCATAATATGTTTGGGTATCACAGTATGTTTGGGTGACCACAGCATGAATGAATGAATGTCACCTAGGTAGTCTGATCCCCGGTCCTTTGTGTACCAGTGTATATATTTATAAGTTTAATTGTATGCTTTGGTCCAACATACCACCCAAAGGCCAGAGTTGGTTTTTCCACTGTATTTGACAAATACCCAATAAAATCCTTCCCTTTTAAAATTTTTAAATAAATGTGTTAGTTATAAGAAAATTTATGCAAGTGAATAATAAGTGTCTAGTTACCTGCAAGTCTTATTATTTTTTAGGATTTTTAAAAGATTTTTTTTTTTTTAAGTAATCTTTACATCCACCATTGGGCATGAACTGACAACCCCAACGTCAAGAGCTGAATGCTCAGGATCCCTGGGTGGCGCAGCGGTTTGGCGCCTGCCTTTGGCCCAGGGCGTGATCCTGGAGACCCGGGATCGAATCCCACGTCGGGTTCCCGGTGCATGGAGCCTGCTTCTCCCTCTGCCTGTGTCTCTGCCTCTCTCTCTCTCTCTGTGACTATCATAAATAAATTTAAAAAATCAAAAAAAAAAAAAAAAAAGCTGAATGCTCTTCCGACTGAGCCAGCCAGGTGCCCCTGCCTAAAAGTCTTTTAATGGTTTTGGGAGAATCCTACCTCTTGAGCTACCAGATGTCTTGACTTGGTGACTTGGGTTATGCTGGTGAATGCCTGTCTTATGCCCAACCCTGAGTGTGTAGCAGTGCTGGCTTTAGTGTGTGATGTGTGCAGGAACCCAGGCCAACCCTTGTTGCTCCTGAGGAGCCTCCGAGAATGCTTGTGTACATGTGCATATCCTTTAACTGTGTACTGAGCACAGACTTCTTAAAGCACTGATGAAGCCCCGTCCTTCCTTGGCATTTCCAAAGGAACCAGAGCTGCTCTGCTATGGGAATAAAGTACTCTTTTACAATCTTCAAAATGTACTTTTTTCCAAATCTTCATTAGTATACCATAGTAGAGGTAGTTAAAACCGGATTTGAAACAGAATTTCTGCTTTTGAGTACACAGTTGCCAGGTTGACTTTAATCGCTTATGTTTGGTGTTGCTAGCTGGATTTAAATCTGGGTGTGTGTGGAGTGTGTGCCTCTTAGAGAGACAGGTGGGGGAGGGGAGAGAGGGAAGAGAAAGATTAGGGAGAGATGTGGATGTTATGTCAAGACAGGTATTTGTTGAATATCTACAGTATGTAGTATTTTCTAACAGTTTGCTTCCACAATTATATAGGTTTATTTATTTTTTTTAAGATTTTATTTATTCATGAGAGACAGAGAGAGAGAGGCAGACAGACACAGGCAGAGGGAGAAGCAGGCTCCATGCAGGGAGCCTGATGCGGGACTTGATCCTGGGACTCCAGGATCATGCCCTGAGCCCATGGCAGGTGCTAAACTGTTGAGCCACCCGGGTATCCCCAATTGTGTACGTTTAGAAAATACTTCAGTGCTATCCTTTTTCTTAGTTGGAGTAAAGGAAGAATAGCCCAAAGAATGTGAGATTCTTTTTTTTTATTTATTCTGTAAGTCATCTTAGAAAATGGGTATATGCTCTATTTTTTGGCTTTACATAGATCATGAGTACTTTTTTACCTACATATTAAAGTTTTTTTCATATTCTCTAAAATGGTCATAATTTTAAAAAATATAATTTTTTTTTAAGATTTTACTTATTCATGAGAGACACAGAGAGAGAGAGGCAGAGACACAGGCAGAGGGAGAAGCAGGCTCCATGCCCGGAGCCCGATGCGGGACTTGATCATGGGACTTCATCCAGGGACTCCAGGATTACGCCCTGTGCCAAAGGCAGGCTGAGCCACCCAGGGATCCCCAAATTAAAAGTTTTAAAGGATAAAAAGGAGTGTCAAAGACCCAGTCTGAGTGACGGGGGAGTGGGGTAGGGTAGAAATCCTATTTGTGTTCTTTGGTATCCCTCCAGGCAGGCAGTAGTTTATGGAAGAGCCCCATATTCCACTTGTTGCAGGGAAGGGGGCAGAGTGTGGGTACTGAGGTCATGGCCATACGGGCCACATGATGTCACGTACACCCACGGCCCTCCTGGCTCACGTTGCCACTTGCCATTCTTGCTCTTAGCACTGACCCAGTTTTAACTACCTCCACTATGGCACTGACAGTTGGGCCAGCTTTTTCGCTTGCCTTCTCAAAGTCTCAGAGGACAAAAGGTCCCTTTTGAAATTCACATGCCACTGTTGGTCTTAACTTCTGCCTTTGTCACAGAATAGTTTCAGCATCAAAGGCCTACGGAAGGCAGGTCTTCTTGATTCCTTAGGTCTTTGAGTTTGTGGGTACACAGGAGAACACTCTTCAGAAAGTGCATGTTGCTTCTGTTGAACTAGTAAACATTTACGTGGTGGATAGAGCATGTGAGGCACCAGCCTTCCTGAGCTGGTGGAGACTAAGGTGAACTTGCTTGAAGTTTTGAGGAAGTACTGGTAGAAATAAAATCCAGGAGAGTACTGTCGGCATACAAGTTACATACAAATTTGACATAAAAATTTATAATTAAGAATTTCACTAATTTAGCTATTGTGCCACTCTGGTGTCCCTGCCAAGTTCTCTTACCAGATCAACTGTTAGTCTGGCTCCCATGTGAAGAGCAGGTGCAGGCCAGAGCCTGGAGGGGGGGGTTTGTGTTGACAGCCATTTGTTGTAGTTAATTTTCTTCTATTCCAAATGTTTTTTATTTTTAGAAATTGCAATCATCTACTAGGGCACCTGGGTGTCTTAGTTAATGTGTCCAAACGTGATCTCCAGGTTGGGAGATTGAGACCTTTGTAGGGCTCCGTGCTGGGTGTGGAGCCTGCTTGAGATTCTCTGTCCCTCTCCTTCCTTCTCTCCTCCTGCTCATCCTATCTGTAAAAAATAATAATAAATGAATAAAGGA